ATTTTAGACCAAGCTAAATCCAAAAATGCGAGGGAATTCCTGGAAGCGTGGTATTCAGACAAGGCAGCCATCAACAGGCACACAGAGACAAACAACATCTACACACTATTCAAAGGAGACAATAAAAGGAAACAAAAGACCAGTACATCTCCTCACCAGCAATCATCACCCAGACAAGCAGAGATTAACACCAAGATTATCACCATACAATCAAGCAGTAAACAATACCTTAATCAATACCCAGAGGGAAACACATACCCCCCCCCATCCTTACACAGTGCTTTAAATAAGGTATATCTTAACTTTTTCACAAGTTAGCTTCCCTTAAATATATATACATAACTATATCGGTCCCTTTGAGTAAATTTTGACTCTTGGCGACTGCTTGGACAAGTCCCTGCAGTTTTCTTGGCAAGTTTTCGAAAGTGGTTTGCCCTTGCCTTCTTCCTAGGGCTGAGACAGAGTGATTGGCCTAGGGTGACCCAGCTGGCTTTGTGCCTATGATGGGAATAAAACTCAGTCTCCTGGTTTCTAGCCTGATGCCTTAACCACTACATCAAACTGGCTGTCTCAAAATTATCTTATCTCATTCTTATTCTTAAACCTCCTAAAACAAAATCTAAATTTGTGTTATATTTTTACTAACATTAATCTCATTAAACTTGACTCTCTCTCTACTGTTCTATATCACAATGTAAATGTTAACAAACTCTTCATGCAAAAGACTCGACTTTTCTTTGGTTTTGAATGATATACTGAGGAATATACTATATCAATGAAACAATAAGATTAAATGCAAATTTGCCAAAATACTTGATGAAAAAGTACTCGGTGTTTTTTTAATTACTGTCTTTTTTTTTGTCCCAAAGTACATCAGATGTTAAAATACCTTAAAATCTGATTTTAACTAACCTGTTGAGTTCTACTTATCTTTCTCTTTTTAAATTAAATTTATATGTCTCCTGACTCCCAGCAACTCTGGGGAGGGTTTATAAATGGTTAAAAACAAGGAACCTCTGCCTATCTGGACAAGATTCTGCATAAAAGAGTATACAATACAACTTTTAAATCATGGAATTCTCATACAGAAGTACATTAAAATTTCGTGAAACAGAATAAATATTCATGGTTTTCTTTTGTGCAGCAACATTTTCTATGTACACTAAGGGGATATACAAACTACTTGGGATTACTGTACATTTCCCTTTAAAAAATTAAGTGAATTTCTAATTAGAAAGTAATTACTCTCACTAGCATGATACATGGAAACTAATAATTTACAGCAGCTATAAAACAGGAATAAATAATTAATACCTGAAAAGAAGGACTCACACATTTATTAATGGATGTAAATGGGAACGGAATAATTTCTTATTTTGGAAAGACTTGTACATTAAAACAGATTCAATTTCTTTACCTTCAGGTAATGTTTCATGATGAAAACTTTTTGGAGCTTTAACAAAGCTTTCTGGAAAATATGTTTAGCTAAATGTGAAAAATCTGTACAGGTAGTCCTCGTTTAGTGACCGCAATTGGGACTGGCAATTCAGTCGTTAAGGAAGTGATCACTAAGTGAAACATCACAATTTTACTTTAGTTTTCTTTTGCTTTACAGACCTGCGAAGATCATAAATGTGAGGGGATTGGTTGCAAAACTACTTTTTCATCACTGTCGTAACTGCAAACAGTCGCTAAACAATGCAGTTGTTAAACAAGGACTACCTGTAATGCTGTATATGTCAATTTAATCCCACCATTCCAAACATAATGTGAAATACATACTAGAAAAATGTATTTAACAAAGCAACAGATAAAGTATTAAATAAACAGTGCTCAAGATTCAAAGGGCTACCTGATAAACTCCACATATATAGTGGGTCTTCAAGACCTGTGCTTCCTAAATGGAAATCCACCATGCCAGCTGTTATACCACTTCTGATTTTGAGGAAGCCCTCAAACGCAGACTGTGATATAGCATGCAGGTTTGCTATTTAATATCCCCTGATATTCCCAAGTCCTTAAATATGCCAGAAGTAACTCTCTGAATCTTATAATGCGTTCTATTTTGAGAAGGAGAATACTGATTTTGAAACAACATAAAGTAAATGGATGTAAAAAAGTTATCATTCAAATTTCCAAAACAGAATCAGTGCAAAACATTTTTCTCCTGCATATGTAGATTCTCCATTTTAACAGACACCCATGATGGTTGTGAAGATAAGTTTTCGTGTCAATACAAAATTTAATTCTATGAAGTCCAGTATCTCATGTACTTGGCACAGTATTAGATTTTCCCACTCAAGCTAATGAAATATCACAATATTTGCCATGATAGGCCATAGCCAAATTGTTCTTTGACAATGACATGATACACTGTAGAAAATCCAACAAAGGAAGAAACTGATACTTCTGAACACGAATACAAAGATTTTTCCAAATGTTACTCCTACAATCTATAACTCCACAAATTCATGACCATAAATAAAACAGTGCATCTTACCTCTATCATTATATGAAAGGCGTGCTTGTAAAAAAAACACAGGCAAAAGGGAATTATTTCATATAATACGAAGTATAAATGCATCTTAGGAAAAGTGAGAGTTGGCAATACTGAAAAGTTATAGTTAAGATTCAGCAAAGATGTCTCAAAGAAAATATTTTCTGTACTGATCCTCTTTTGACAATAAAAGACAGCAATGTATATGATACACCAGTAACTGACTTATTTGAACATTAACAAATCTGTAACCAAATGTTCAAAATAGTACTGAAGCTTTCAAAAAATGACTTCCATAAGCATAGTGCAAGTACTGTAGAAAGCTCAGGGAAATGTAGTAATTTAGTTATTGAGCTATTGGTTTTATGCTATCAAGTTCTAGCTTTCCCAAAGATGTGTGCATAAAATATAAGTTGCTACATTACACAAGAGGGCAGTATTGCATCATCTAACCTACAAACTTTAAGTATAACTATGAAACAAAACACATGCACAACTACCCTCATCCTAATCTTACTTCATTTAATTATTAAACTCGCTAAACATAGTTTGCTTTTCATTAATACTTCTTTGGTAGTTAATTAATACTAGAAATATCATCCCTCTCTTTGATTTGCTACCTCCATTTGGAAATACCAGGATATAAATTAACAGTTAATTAGTTTTTATTTTAACACTCATGAAACACCTCAATTTTTTTATTCTTTTTAAAACTGAAGAAAGACAAACCTTATAAAAGTAACTAGAATATGCAACATGTAATTACTAATAAATTGTATTAGTTTACAAAGCATTTTCCTCAAAATTCACTAAAAAGAAGCAAAAAGAAAACCTGGGGTGGGTATTGGGAGGAGAGCTTTCTATCACCAACATTCATACCAGTCTATGATTGAACTCTACCCTCACACCCCCTGTACCTGAATTCTAAGTGTAGTTCTTTCCCAGGTACATACTTAGGCAAGTTGTTATGTTGCTGCCTTTTCTAGAATGGGGATTTGCCCCCATTCACCAGGAATCTGGTTGGGGCTGAACAGTAAATCTCCCTTCCCTTCCTTTTAAATAAATGGCTCCAGATTTCCCTT